CTCTGTGTCTTTTTATTGATGAGTTTATCCCATTTATATTTGGGGTTAATATTAATATGTTAGCATATGTGTTTGCCATGTTTTTTCCTTTTTTTGTGATTTTATTCCTTGCCTTATTCTGTTCTTATTCATTCCTCTGCTGATTTTGGTTTTAGTACTTGTGGTATTTTTTAAAGTGAGGGTTTAGTAGTAATGAATTTCTGGAGATTTCTGAGGTCGTTATTTTCCTTCATAGAGGAAGGAAAGCTTTTCAGGGTAAATTATTCTTGGTTGGCATTTGTTGACTTGGAATTTGTTGACTATATCACTCCATTCTCTTCTTGCCTATAGTGTTTCTTTGTAGAAGTCTGATGTCAGCCTGACTGGTTTTCCTTTATAGGTTTTCTGTTTCTTCTCCTTCATCATCTTTATTGTGTTTTGCTTTTTTGGACTGTTGGAAGCTTTACTATGATGTGTCTTGCTGTACTTTCCCTTTCGTTGTGGTAATTTGGTGTTCTTCTAGTTCTAGTTTCCTGTATGTCTATTTTCATCTCCTTCTCCATGCTTGGGAAGTACTCTTTGATTATATCCTTCTGTAGTTTCTTGGTTCCTTTGTCTCCTTACCTTCTGGGATTCCTGTAAGTTTTATATTTTTTGCACATGCTGTCAGGTAGTTCTCAAAGTGCTTTTCATTCATTTTCCTCTGAGCACAGTGTAATCAAACCAGAAATCAAGAACAAAAAGAAAAAAAGAAAAATTTTGAACACTTGTGACTCTTAAAAAAATATTTATTTATGCATGCATGCAGAACTGAGGTGCAGGCCAGAGGTGCAGGGACAGTGAGAGGATTCATCAGAGACAGAGTGGGGAGCAGAACAGGCCGACTGACAAAGTACACTGCTGAGGGGAGCAGCAGGTGAGACAGTAGTGGTCTGCCACGCCATGTAGATCACCTCCAGGACTGGAGGTAAAATTCATACTGAAGCGGCTGCAGCTGGCCTGTAGTGCTGTGCCACAACTTTTTGTGCCACCAGGGAGGACCAACACTTGTGACTTTTATAACATACTTGTAAATAATCTATGGTTCAAAGAGGAAATCTCAAAGGATTTTAAAAATAAACTCAATGAAGGTAAAATATAATATTACAAAAATATGTAACATGCAATTAGAGCAGTGTGCAGAAATTTATAAGGTAAATGGTTACATTTGAAATAAAAATGTCTGAAATCACTAATTGAAATTTCTCAATCAAAGAATTAGAAAAATAAAAATAAAATAGGACCCTCCCTTGTGGCGCAACAGCTTAGGAGGCAGCATTGCAAGCTAGCCGCAGCTGTTTCATTTTGACTTCTAACCCCAGCCCTGGAGGTGACCCACATGGCACAGCAGACCTCTCCTCACCCACTCACTGCTCCTCTCAGCAGTGTACTTCGTGGTTCTGCCTGTTCTGCTCCCCACTGTCTCTGGTGAAGCCTCTCATCGCCCTGTACCTCTGGCCTATGCTCCAGTTCTGTATGCATAAGTAAATAAATCTTAAAAAATAAAAAGAAAGAAAAGAAAAAGAAAACCAAAACAAGCACAGGAAGGAAATAATAAAGAGTTGAATCAATGGATTTGAGATAGTAAAAGTAAAGGGAAAGTTAAATAAAAAATATGGTTCATTATAGAAAAATCACTAAAATCGACAAAATCCTGACAAGGAAGGTAAAAATAAAAAAGACAAATACAAATCATCAGTATCATAAGTGAAATGTGGGATCTCACTAGAGATACTATAACCATTAAAAATATAATAAGGGACTATTAGCAACAAATTTACAAACATATATTTGAAAACTTAGAAGAAAGGGATCAATTTTTCAAAAACAAAAGACTTCTAAAACTCACTTAATACAAAAGTCGATCACCTGAATATCTCCATAACTGTTAAAGAAATTGAATTCATAGTTTTGAAATCTCCTGGCAAAGAAACCTCTAAGCCCAGCTACTTTCACTAGAAATCTTTTCCAAATATTAAAAAAAAAAATTAACACCAGTCTTACACAATCTCTTTCAAAAATGGAAGAATAGACAACACTTCAAATTCATTTTAGGAGATTATTATACTCTGATATCAAAAGCACACAAAAATGGTATAAAAATAAAAAAAAAACTATAGGCTTATATCTCTCATGGATTTAGATACAAAAATTCTCAACCAAACAGTAACAAATTTAATCAGGCAATGTATAAAATGAATTCCACATCATGATCAAGTGGGATTGATTTCAGGTGTACCACAATGGCTCAACATGCAAAAACTGTCTGGTATAACTTATATCAATAAGGCCAAGGTAGGGAGGATGAATATGTCAATGGATGCTGAAATACACATCTACACTGGAGTTTTGGTGGAGGCTACGTGAAGCGTGTATACCTATGGAGGTGTGAAATTGTACCCTCCGAATTATATAGTCATGTAAATGACTTAAATTAATTTGTAAAACTTAAAAGCAAAAAAGGAGTTAATGACAACAAATGTTGGCAAGGATGTGGAGAGACTGACTCACATATTATTGGAGGAGATGTATGTATGTTGGTACAGTCACTCTGGAAAGCAAAGTGGGTTTTTTTTATAATATAATTATTTTTACATCATTTTGTGCATTTTTTCCATCTCAGTTGTAATCCCTGTGGGCTTCCCATCACCAAATCACCCGTGTGCCATCACCATAGTCCAGTGCATTTCCCTCCCCCCACTGTTTTTTATCCCATTCCCAACTCCACCCCTGTAAAATGTCTCTGGTATATAGCTGTTCATTATTATTATTATTTTCTCACCTGGTCCGTCATACTCCTGCTATGAGTGAACACATCTGGTATTTTTCCTTTTCTTTCTGGCTTATTTCACTAAGCATGATCTTTCCCAACTCCATCCATGTTGCTGCAAAAGGCATGTGTTTTTTTCCCTTTTTTTTCTTTTTTTGGTTTGCTGAGTAATATTCCATTGTGTATATGTACCACATCTTTTTAATCCAGTCATCACAAAGTGGGTGTTTTTGAATAAAATAAAAATAAATATGTAACTATTTTCTGACTTAGCATTATACTCTGGAACATTTATTCCAGAGAAATGGAGATTTATGTTCACACAGTAATTTGTTCATAAATCTTCACTGGCGTTTTATTCAATAACCAAAAATCTGGAAACAAACCCAGATGGCATATATAAACAAAAGGTTAAACAAACTGGAGCATACGTACCTTCAAACCCTTCTAATCAATAAAATGCAACAACTTCAATGAACTTTTCAGTAATTATGATAAGTGAATTTAAAAATCTCAAAAGGTTTCCATGATTTAATTTAAAACAACATTTATGAAATGACAACATTTTAGAAATGGAAGACAGATTTGTGAGTGCCAGTGCTTAGGGTCAGGATGGAGTTCAAGGGGGAGGTGGGTGTGATTGTAAAGGTGCAGCATGGTATTCCTGTTCAGTATCATGATTTTGGAGATTGTTACACAAACTTACACATGTGACAAAACTTCTTTCATTCATTTATTTTAATGAGGTACCACTGTTTTATATCCATGTTAATATTTCAACATTATAAAAAAATCTCCCCTCCGCTGTGGTCCTCATAGCTCTCCTACCACCAAAGCAACCCTAGTCCTGCACCACATTCCACTGTGTTCTCACATATGATAAAAATTGTATACAACTAAAGGTGCATAGGCACACACACACACACACACACACACACACAAACCCTCCCCCCCCCCACACACACAGGACAAGTAAGCTTGAAGAAATATGAATAAGATTGGTGGATTGCATCACCTGTTTCCTGGTGATGGTATTATCCTTTAGTTTTATGAAGGTTGCCACTAGGGAGTAGAGTGGACAAAGTGTACATAGGACCTCTGTCTTATTTCCTGGAGTGCATATGTAGTGCTTATTATCTAAATAAAGATGTTGGTTAAAATTATTGAGGGCTCCAAAGAGATTTTGCTATGTGGATTATTTCTTTATGTGTATGTATGTATGTGTATATATATGTATATAAACACACACACACACATATTAGGCATGCACTAAAACTAAAAAATAAAAGGCATAAAAATACACAAGCTCACATTCCATAAAGCCTCCAGAGCAATAACATTGCCTGTCATGAAGCTTTTGAACATTACATTGTACACTCATGAGAGGACAATATTGATAAAGGGAAATGATATTTAATATTATTATGAAAAATTACAATAATTTTGATCATGTAGGTTCCCTCTTCACCCCCTAGTGGTCTCAGAGACAGGGTGACTAACTCATTTTGGTTTGCATAGGACTTACTGGCTTTGGCGTCAAAAGTACGCACAAAACCAGTATGGCTTGCCTGAGATTTACCCAGCTTTAAAAGTGAAAGTTCCACATCCAAGAAACTCCCTGGGTCTCAGGCAAACTGGGGTGTTTTTACTCTATATTCATGGACATTTTCATGAAAAGCCATCTTTATATAAAAGTAATTCCCACTTCAGTGTTCTTATGTCACCATCACAAAGGACTTGAATATCTTCACATTGTAATTTGTTAGAAACTCTCATACCGTCATCCCAATTGCTTGTTTAATTGTCTTTGTTTTAAGATTTATTTATTTATGCATATAGAACTGGGATACCCAGACATGTATGGACGGGGAGAGGACTCACCACAGCCAGAGTGGGGAGCAAAACTGGCAGATAGACGAAGTATACTGCTGAGGGAATCAGCAGGCGAGATAGGAGAGGTTTTCTATGCCATGTGGGTCACCCTGGAGGCGGGGATCAAACTAATACCGAAGTGGCCATGGCCAACTTTGCAGTGCTGCGCTTTAAACCACTGAGCCACAAGGGAGGGCCCACTTGCTTAACTTTCTAGTGTAGTTCATTCTACCTTTTGCTTCTCACCTTGGATTGTTTAAATATGATATTGACATTGTAATGAAAATGTGTCATCAGAGTATTGTGTGTGTTTTTGACTCTTTGATGATTATCTTTTCAGGTCAAGTCAGGGTGGTGCAAGTAACCATCCCAAGCAATGTTGTGAATGTGACTGCTGGATCTGATATCACTCTCATCTGCACCTACACCAGTACTCTGCCCTCCCGGGACAAGCTTTCCATCCAGTGGTCCTTCATGACTAAGAAGGAGTCACAGTCACTTACCGTAAGGACATTTTTTTTTCTCCCTGTAAACTATTCCCCTTCATTAGTTTTGACTGAAAACTCTTGGGGTCAAAGTGTGGAGTAATGATAAGCCAGAAAACAGCAGCAAAGTCTCATATGTAGAATGTTTGACGATAGCTATTGAGGGAAGACCATCATCTGAGCAACTTGACCTTTGCCATTTCTTCATGTCCAGTTATCCTCATTCTGTGTACGTCAATATCAAGCACAGTATGAATTACAGAGCAGACAGGAACGGTCTTAATATTCAAATGCATGTCCTAATTGATTGGCAGATCTCTGTCAAGTGTATTATTTGGAAACTATTTGTCAAGGAGCTAGATCATTGTGCTAGACTTAGTCCTGAAGGCATGAGAGCTCCCAAATAGTTGGAGATGGCCAAGGTAATGATGAGCCCTCACTGATCAAGAGCAACAGGAGGCCTTCAGATGATAGAGAAAGAAGGCTAGGGTCTGTGGAGCGAGGTTCCCAGAGGAGGGCAAATGAGCAAGCTGCTTATCCCAGGTTTTCTCCATCTAACCTTAAGGCTAATTTCTTCAAATTAGCCCAAGGACTCAAATGTGTGTGTGAGTGCATGTGTGCACAGGTGTGTGTCAGCACATGTGCCGTGCAAGCCTGCATATGTCACTGGAGGGAAAATATTTGTACCTTTCATTGGATTTTCAAAAGGATACATGATCCAACACAAGGAGATCAGTGAAGACATAAATCAGTATGGTTTGAAACAGTTGGAGGTCATTGAGTTGGACTTTGAAGAAAAAGATGGAGTTTGATTAGTAGAAAGATAGAGAGTAAGTTGCGTGGATTGGGGGAGACCCAAGGGCAGTTGTGAATAAGAAGGGTGCATTAGTTTGGAGAAACTACACCTTGGACATTGTGACTTCAGTCATCACTGGCCTTGGAGGTTCTGCATCCTCTCTTGACCTGAACACTTGTTTGGCAAGAAACACCATTCAGAGGGGATTCCATCAATGATACCCTGTAGTCAAAGTTAAACAATTTTACTCATTACTGGTTACCCTACACAAGTATTTGAACCACTCTGTGCCTCTCTTCTAAATGGGTGGAACAGTAATACTCTTCTATATAACTCATGGGGAATCAAGTGACACAATGGATGTGAAAACATTTGGAATAACATAAAATCCTGTAAACTTTCTTCCTTGTAAACATTATCAGAAGCAGAAAAAATTCTATAAGTTTCTGTCACCTGAAAAGCCATGATCCAAAATTTCACAAGTCGCAATCAACTAAGAAATCATCTCTCCTATTTGTAGTCTTCTCTTTTATATTGTGAATGGCTATCAGTGTGCCATCTTTTTTCCTTTTTAAAATTCAGCTCCCTGACTCATCTTTACTTTTTTTCCCTTTTTATTTTATATATTTTACATCATTCTTCATTTTGTACATTTTTTCATCTCAGTTGTAATCCCCCTGGACTTCCCCACCACCACTTCACCCACGTGTCATCACCATAGTGACTCATCTTTTCAATACACTATCTGTAGTCTTCATTTTTGTCTTGTTTTGCCAAGAGGGTCTGAATTTTGAAGGTTTTCTTTTCTTTTTTTTTTTTTTTTTTTTTTTTGAATTTTGAAGCTTTTTAATGCTTGGTACTTAAATCAAGATGTCTTCAATTGCATGGAGGCCAGATCAGGTCAATCTGAGTTCAAAACCACAAATTCTTCTTTATGCCGCCTCTAAAACTAGAATTTATAATGCCACTTCTTTGTTGAACTCTGTGGCTGGTGAACAGCTGGGAGATACAGAACTAAAGAACTTATTACCTGCAATGAGTTTTTTCTAGACCTAGAGATGAAGAAGTACATGGTGTAAGTTATTGAACTGAGTGTGACTCAAACCCAGGATATTTCTTAGACAATTTCTAGAAAGAACATCTATTAATGAATAAGTATTAAGTATTTTATTTACTTGCCATTTTCCTTATCCTTCAAAATATCAGGTACCTGTAGGGAAAGTAATTAAAGTTGTCTATTCTTTAGGGCTGTTCAAATCAAAAGAGGTTTTCTGCTTCGCGTTACTGATTAGTGAGAACAAGCTTCTTGATCTTAACACATTCTATATGTTTCTCCAAATGCTTGGGACTTGTGTTACTCCTGTACCTTAGCCACATGGGGTACAAGGCCATATCTTTGCTTGGAGACACTGAAGAACACTTCCAAAAAGGGAAACTTTCTCTTTCTCCTCTTTTCAGAGGGAAGAACAAAAACAAAAACATTGCAACCTTCTTTAAGTCCTTACTTCTAGAAAACTAGAGTTCTTCCCTCTTTTCCTCATGTGTTCCAGGCATATTCTTCTCTTTGTTTTATCAGATGAGTAGTTTTGGAGCCCCAGTGGGAATTTCCTGATGAATGTCTGTTCTACTTCTTACTCTGCCTCTCGCTGGCTGGTTGATCTTAGACAAATCACTTAACCTTTCAGATAAATCACTTAACCTTTCAGAGATGCAATCTTCCCATCTGTGAAATGGGGTTACCTCATAGGTTTGCTGTGAATATTAAGTGAAATGATGCTTTTGATGCACTAGGAAGCCTTCCACATTGTAACCTACCATTCTACATTGTAAGCCTTCCACAATGTGAGATTATTATCAGCATCACTACTGTATCTTATCCAAACCATTAGTCATGGGCCCTAGGTAATCCAGCCCAAAAAATACACTTAGTGACTTCAACATCTGGGTCAGACTTTGGGGGGGGTACATCCTAATCCAGGATTGACTTCAAGTTCCTCTGCCTTGGATTGAAGAGAGGGCCCGTCCCCTTCTCTGCCTTTTTCTGTCCCTGAACAGAGAACCTGCTTAACAATGTTGCCGATATCCTTAGTTGAATTGGTACTTTTCAAAATGGGATTTGGTATCTATTTCAAATTTTCCTTTTGAGCACATCTATGCATTTGAAATTCTGTAGCACATGTTATATGTTAATCTAGGGATGACTGGTGGGACATTTGTGGAATGATAAAAATGGACTGCTGTGCTCTTAGGCAATTCTATATTATAGGGGAATAAACTTTTCCCAGCCTCACCCCAAGTGGTTCATTCAACTCCTGGGTTGATGTGACAGTGTACAATGTAGCATTCGGCTCTCAGATCCACCCATTTCTGCTCAAACACAGCACAGCCCGTGCCTCAGTGCTGAGGGTATGGAGGAAAAGGCAGTCAGTCAGTGTCTAAAATTGGCGCATGCAAGAGACGCTCGGGGAAGATGTAGCTGGACCTCTCAGGTAAGAACACCTGTTGGCTATTACTGGGCCCTTTAATTGTTTGGAGCCTCCAGCTTATAGAAGAGGGTTGGGAGGGTCTGCGTTAGGCAATAATCCAGATCAGCACAAGACCTTGGCCAAAAAGAGTCTTGAGGTTGCTTTCTCATACACGTATCTGGAATTCTTTTAGCCTCTTCCAAAGAACTCGGGGCTCGATGGCTGCATATTCTATCCTCCCAAAATCATTTTGTTAAAGAACCAGTTGACTCCAAGACCTATTGTCTCTCATTGCCCAGGGAAGGATGTCCCCTACTGATTATCCCTTCCAAGAAGTTCCTTTAGTGAATAGGGAGTGCAGAAGTACACAACACATCTCACTGGGATGGCCAGGGTAGTGGTTAGCTTGTTCCTCCTCTTAGAGAAGCCCTCCTCTCAGAAGACATGGACAGCTTCAAAGGATCAGTCCCTTAGCAGGGACTTGTGGCTAAAGACTCTGAGCTCCCAAACAGGTGCACTGACCTGAAAGGTTTGGATGGTCATTTGCAGGACTCACCCCAAGTGATTCATTCAACTCCTGGGTGGATGTGACAGTGTACAATGTAGCATTCGGATAGCCTTAAAAAATATCTGTACATACTATATTACTTCACCTCTGGAATTCAAACTTCCATCCATCACAATAGTAGACCCCTTTTACCTGTCTACCGTCCCTTTTCTCCTTCCCTTCTGGTAACCACTATTTTCTTCTTACTGTCTAAAAATTTGTTTCTTTGCTGTGCTTGACAACTTCTTTTTAGAAACTAGTGTTCTCATATTCTCTGACTGCTCATAGTCTCCAAAGTAACCTGAACGCTACAGGTAACATTCTATCAACTATTTTGAAAGTGTCTGCAGGATGGGGTTGTTTCACCTCCTGCAGAACATTTGAAAGTAAATGGGGGTGTTGGTTTAATTGCTATGATTGGGATCCACCACTGGCATTTGGTGCATAGTGGCTGGAGACACTAAATATCTTACAGTATGTGGACAGACCCAAACAAGATAGATGCTAGTACTCCCATTGGGAGACACTGGCTTCTTTCCTTCCACAAGCCCCTTCCCTCAAAGAGTATCTGCCCTGGGTCCCATTCCCTTGGGTTTCTATATTGCTAAAAAAGTAAATATATTTCTCTGATAAATTAATTTAATGCTAAGATGTTAGGGACTTGCGACAGTTTATTTTATTCTCTTCCAAGGAGTGCATTTAAGCAGATATCCTCTGTGCTTTTCCAAAAACAGCAATTCAGATGGTGGACAATCTCCGGCACGTGACAGGTTGGTGGAAGACTGGTTAGGAGGAAGAAGGCCTTGCTTTTGTGTTCTATTACTTCCATGTGCCATCCCAAACCTCTTAGTACAGTCCAGAGAAAAGTCTAACTTTGAAATCTTTGCCACCCTTTCTTCACACTCTTCCATGGTGAGCCCCTTTATGAGCAATGCCGGAAAACAAGAAGCTGAAGGGAAAGAATGAGTGTTCTGCTGTGACCTTTCAGGCCTTCCACATTCCCAAAAGGAACCCACAAAACAGCTTGGGAGGCTAATGGCCTTTATTAACTGCAGCTCAAACTCAAACAGAAATCAGAACAAATTCTTTCAACCCTTCTTGTTTAAACTCCAGCCTCTAGTAAGAGAGTAGTGTCACAAAGCTGAGAAAAAAATTTTTTTGGACAAATCTGGCTCCCAGCTGCATGGCCCCCTGTGAATAAGAACTTGGCACAGTAGGAGGGAAAAGCTGTTACTGTAGCCAACAAATGTCAAGGCATCACATGGAGACCCACTCGGCATGGGAAGCATCATGCCATTGAATAGCAGCAACCGGAAGAAGGGCCTGGCGGGAAAAGGGGATGGAGTGGCCCCAGAGGGGGAGGGTACTTGGGAACCATTTTCCTCTCTTACCACATGACTGTGTGCACTATGTCAGTGTTCTCAGTGGGAACTGGGAGGTCTGGATGCTAGGTTTGGGTATAAATTGATTATATGACCTTGGAAAAATCACTTTCTCTAATGGGGCCTCAGTGTCCTTCACTGTAATAGAAGAGGGTGAAACAGAGGTTGCACTCTGGAGGTCTCTGGGCCAGAATTGGCTGGTGAATGTATATTGGTTGGCCTGTCTAGTGTTTTTTGTTTATTTCTACAGTTTGAATACCTTGTTTGCTTTGGCTCCCCCATTCCCACTGTCCTCTATGATCTTACCACTCTCCACCACCAATTCCCAGCCATTTCCCATCTGTTTAATATTCATCTGACTCCTGAAGTTTCCTCAGCCTTAGGAAGCATGAGCTAAGTGACCTCCAGGGGGGTCTTATAACTAACGTGCCATCATGAGGCCGGTATCACCAAGGGGCAGGCTGAGAGGACATTGGAGAAAAGTAAGGCAGTCTGCCATGAACACAGCCACAGAAGAAAAGTGGGTAAAAAATTAACAAGCACCAGTTAAGGTGATGCTTGGGTGGATTTTCTTAAAGCAGGACTTGCCCCCTCCCCAAGGGATGTGGCCTGCTGAACATCCGTGGCTTTTCCTGAACCTTTATTGCTTTGATCTCTAAATTGACAGTATACTTTCTTTGAAAAGTAGACAAACCTCAAAGGATCATGAGCTGGGCCTTGGCCATTGTTTGGCTTTGATTTTGAAAAGAGTTATTCTTTTGTGGAAAATAGAACCAAGTTCCACTCCTTCCTGTGTGATTAGATAAGCAGTTTCAGGAAAACATTTAATTTTTTTCTCTTTTCAAGGACAGGGTAACAGCGTGGACTTCCCCTAACAGAAAGCCCCTCCATCTACATGTGTGGCCACTGTCTAGCCTCTGGGACTTTCTTTCTCACACAGAGCCCTGAAGCCAAAGCCTTTCTCTCTTAGGTGTCTATTGTTACCCCTTTTCACCCCCATTTCTAGACTAATACCCTTTCCTGTTATTTGTGGAAGGATAAAGTTTATTAGATCACAGTGTCCAGAACTAGGGTAGAAAGATTGGTGAACATACTTTTCATAAGGAAGTTTTGAGTCCAGGGCTTCTTTACTTATTGCTCATTTCACCTTGACTCACCCCCAATTGTGAGACTTTTCACTATGGCTTCTTTCTATCCCCCAGCCCTGGACTCAAACACAATCTTTCACTCTCCTGCTCTCTGATGAAACTAGGTCTTACACCTAGGTCCTCTGGGACTCACTATAGGCTGTAGTCAAGGCTGTAGTCAAGGATGATGTTCTAGCTCATTGTGATGTCATCAGGTTTCACTATAAAAGAGGCCGACTTTGCCCCTGTCTGCCTTGGGAGCTGCGCTGGGGGAAGCAGCCACATGCCTAAGCTGTAGAGGGGTTCCTGGATGGACCACAGTCTCCATTCCAGGTAAGGGTCCATGGGACCGAAATTGTTGATTAGAAAGTAAATGAGCTAGTGAAATACAAAGCCAGATATCATGGGTGTAAACTCAAATGAAGATAATAGACCTTTAATGAGTTGAACCTCCTTCTGGTCCAGTGAATATCTTAAGTTAATGCTGGGTTTCTGGTTTGTAAATTAAACAAGACCACTCTGGGGCAAAAGTTTGTGATATCAGTAGGTGTGACCTGATAACTTGAACTATAAATGGCTCATTAAGGGCAAGAAAGAAAGCTTCCTGCTGCCTTAGCTAAAAGAGTTTGCCTTCCTATTTAAAGGAGAAAATATTTGGTTTATTTATAGTCTTCTCTCTCTCATTAGTCTATTAAGGTTAAGAGCTTGCCACAAAGTGGGTTCTCGGGCTGTCCCAATTGTTAATTTTGTGTGTGTACATCTTTGGGCTTCAGTTTCTTCTGTAAAGTGAGGAGAGTGAATTAAGTGAACAATATGACTTCTAGTGTGTTTGATGAAAATCGTCCCATTGGTCTGGGGTAATGCCAGTTATGTTAAACAATAATCACTTGATTTATAGACATTCACCAACTAACCCAGTGTGTACACAGACTGTGTACCAGAGGGATCACATAGTTCAGTGATTCCCCAAGTTCAATCACCATGTCTTATCTTTATGATTCTGGTCATATTCATGGATCATAAGTATTACTTTGTGGTGTTTTCTGTATTAACTTGGCTTCTTAAAAAATCTTAAAATAGCTGTTAATCTCACTATAAGCCATGATACCCATGAAGTCATATGTTTGATGTGTGATATGTTTCTCCTAACATAAATTTTTTAAAAATTAAGTTTTCATTTATTTGTGGATCATCTAAAAACAACTTATATGCTTTTACTTGGGAAATACTCATCAGACTTTACTGATGTATGATCAGATGTGTGAAGTAAAGTTTTCAGGAGATGAAATAAATATTTCTTATCACAAAGTAGATTGCCATGGTGATAGAAGGCCACCTCCATTAACGATGTCACAATTAGGCCAACCTGTGGCTAGCACAAAGATCATCTGTCTGTTTCTACTACACGACTCTGCTCCCACAGTTGTCATTATCATCTAAATATCCACATCTTTAGTGGTGATGAGACTAGAATTCAGATTTTAAGTCTAGCAAATTGGAATAACAAAAAATGAAACTTTTTCTGAATTGTGTACACTTGTTTGTCTAAGTGAAATAATTCCAGTTTTGCCTTCTGCCATGGAAGAAAGGTGGTAGTTGTCATTGACTAAGTACCATCTAGGCCTTTTAGTGGACTTGTTTTATTCTCATACTACTGCTAAGAGTAGATGGGACCAGGTGATTTCTCAGGGGACCCTCTGTGCTGGAATGTGATTCTTCCAACTTTGGTTATCCAAAGGAGAATGTGTACATGAAGGGAAACCAGAGAGTCCTATTGGGTAAAACCAAATAAAAAAATTATAAAGTGGAACAAAATGGATGGTTTTGGTTTTCCCATCAGGCATTTGTGTCCAATATGAGCTTTCTCCAGATAGACTCATTAGGTGAGCATCTATCTCTAAGCTTAGGAGTTGAAGCTGTTGGCTCCCTGTCTACTAAGATAAGCACATCTCCCTGCCCTGATGATGTCACAGAACTGCTTTGATCACACATGAGGTAATGGCTGTGCACAGCAGTTGAGAAACAAGTGTCCCCACTGAGTTCCCACAGGGTACAGTCCCATTCCCACAGGAAGGAAAAATGCTTCTTCTTAACAAATATGGTAACATTGATAGAGGGAGATTTCAAATAGCTTACCCTAGCCCTGAGTATTCTCCATTTCTCATTTCTGTCATTTTTTTTTCTGTCCTAGATTTACTACTTTGCAGGTGGAAAAGCTGAAACTGCTGGGAATTTTAAAGATCGAATTGTAGGGTCCACCAGTCCAGACAACGCATCTATCACTATCTCGCGTATGCAACCAGCAGACAGTGGCCTCTATATCTGTGACGTCACCAACCCACCTGACTTTACTGGAAATAATCAAGGAGTCATCAACGTCAGTGTACTAGGTATAGACATTTATTTCTGTCTTTTCTTGGAGCAATTTGGAACGTTACAAGAGCCAGGGCAATGAGTTATGGTGCCAATAAGGTCCCAAGGGTAGGTAGTCTCACTGCTCTATTTTTTTTAAATAGGATACAGAGTCACATCACCTACCCACTCCACACAGAAACACCGAAAGATCACTCCAAGCATGTTCAAACAATTGTCAAACCAAAAATGGCCACTAAAACGACAGACTGACAGTAGCTACCCCAACTTTCAGGGATTCCACAAGGACAGGATGAGAGTACATGGGACAAGGCACAGGCCCACTAACCATTACTAGCAACTCTTTAGAGGGAACTTCCAATTAGAGACAGTGTACCCTGGAGGAGACGGCTGTCAACTTTGTAATCTCTCCTCTGCTACATCTTCTCACCATTAAATCATTCTTTTAAAACAAATGAGTGAATGCTCATAGCAGGAGTATAATGGACCAGGCGAGAAAATAACAAGAATAATGATCAGTCATATACCAGAGACATTTTGTGGGGGTAGAGTGGGGAATGGGATCAAAAACGGGGGTGGGGTGGGGGTGGGGAGGGAAGTGCATGGGATTATGGTGATGGCACACGGGTGACTTGGTGATGGGAAACCCGTGGGGATTGCAATTGAGATGGAAAAAAATGTACAAAATGATGTAAAAATAAACTGTTATAAAAAAATGAGTGAATGTATAGCTAATAAAATAACAGGAAGGTTCCTTTTTAAAATGGCTATACTATTTGGGAAAAGGACACATGTTAAGCCAGAGTTGAGAATTTATATAAAATATTATGTGTCATTGGGAAAACCATATCCACTCTTAAATGAATTTAGAGTGGTTCATTTATGCAACCTTTATTGGTGCCTACTTAGTGCCAGGAACCATGACGTTTGCAGACAAGAAACATGGTTTCTGCTCTTCAGCAGGTCATAATTTTGGCGATTCCCAGGGCTCCTTATAATTGCTGAGAGGACAGTGGGAGTTTTTCCTCTCATCTGCAGACCCAGCAGGTCCTGTCTGCGGGCCTTCAGAAGTATGGAAAGGTGGGATGAAAGGGCTGCCAACTCTTGTCAACTGTGGAGTGGAACTAAGTGTCCTCCTGCTTCTAAGTAACTTGAATGAATCTAGTCACTGTGCCTCTCCATCGCAGGAAAGGAGAAATCCGATCAGACCAGTGACTTGATAACTGAATAGCTTGTAAAAGCAGCAGTTGGGAGCAAGGTGCACAGCTTTGGAGAGCTTTCAGCGTTATCTGGACTTGCTTTCCAGATGATGCTAAAAATGAACCAGCTCCTTACTGTCAAGTTTGTCGTTGAGCCTACCCTCCTGGAAAAGGAGGCAAGGCAGCCAAGGCTGATTTTAGAGCAGGGTATCCCAGTTTTTACTTTGCTGAGCCCTGTATTAGTTGTTGGGGCAGTTGGGATGACCATTCATTTGACATATTTCCATTAGCTAGTACAGTCCTGGAAACACAATATCTAAAAATTAAAAAAAGTAAAAATCACCCAGAAAGAAGTTGGAGTAGTTTTTGTATGCATTTTGAACGATCATCAACTTCTTTCTTCCCTTTGGCACATTAAAAAGAAAATGAATTTAAAGAAGGTTTGAGAACACATTAAAACATTTACATTTATTATCTGAGGTGAGCCTTTTCCTCCCATTCCAGTTCTGTCTAAAGCAATAACGCTAAGTGGTAGATCAATGGGTTTGCCAGTAAACCACCCAACTTCTACTGGGGACTTTAAATGGATGAAATGATAATTTAATCCTGATTCGGTAGTTTTAGAAGTTATATAGGTTTGGGATATGATTCAAAGTGATTCACTTAGTATTTGATTAATTAAAAAAAAAGGTGAAAAATGTGTTTAGCAAAAAATGAATGCCTATTTGGGTCTGACTCTGGACTCAAGAACTGAATCTAAGTCATTCCAGATTTGTGTTTGTCGTTAAGTTCAAGTCCTGGTGCCTGACTTGGTGATGAAACACCGCGACTTAATTTTCTGTTCAAATTGTTCTGTTATGCTGTAAAGTTTTAAACATGGTCGTGTCTTTTCTAACGGAAGTTTCCAAATCTAGTGATAGCTGCAATGAACTTCCAATCAAGTAGCCTTGTTTAGGATAGGCAAATCAACTAGCTGTTTCCATCTGAGAAAATCAATCATGAGAAAAATCTTTCACTGCTTTCCCCGAAAGACCCCATTATTGCTCCCTCCTCCTCCTCACTCCTAAAACTTGATCCACCTGATCAAGGCAAGGTAGGATCTTGTATTCAGCTGTCCAGATCAGAAACCTGGCCACAATCTTTGACTCCACCTTCTTCCTCACGCCCCCATATCTGCTTGGTCACTGAGTTCTGTTAATTCTACTTCCCTAATACCTCTTGTATCTGTTCCCACCCCTCCTTCGCTCATGCATCCATGGTGTCAAAATGATCCTTCTAAAAGGTGAAAGTGAGTGTGGTTGCTCCCCTGCTAAAATTCCCAGTTTGCGGCCTAAAATACTTGAAATGCAAAACCATCCAGTTCTGACCTCCACTATTCTCTAGCCTCATCTCTCTCCCCCTCATGCTTCTTTAGCAGTGTGTCAGTTATTTTAGAATTCCTGGTGCCTAGAACAGTGCAAGACATACAGAAAGCTCTCAAATAAATGCTTGTGAAGAATGAATAAAGATTTCAGGATCTTGTAGCTGCCCCCTCTAACTGCCATGGCTCCCCCCCACCCCCGCCACTGAAGAGGGACACAGGCAAATACACCAACCAGGCTCTGTCACTCCCAGAATAAAAAATGCCAGAAAAAAGATACATAAAAGGAAAACATGACAAAAAATGTGAACTTAAAAAAAAAAGAATAGGGTATTTCTAATTATTGAAGTGTTCTATTTTCCTATAAACAGTACTTCAAAAGTATAACCTTTGTCCCTTGTTGTTTAGTGTTTGCTTACATTTGGCTTTTTTAGTAAGAGCATATTTTAAGGGACAAGGAGGAAATTCATGATTATGGATCTCTGAGGTTGAGCAGTGGAGATGCTAACAGATCTCAGTGGCCGGGTGACTGCAGGTCCTTGCACCTGAAGTACTCTACTCCCACCTAGTGGAACAACCAGGGAACTGTCACAATACAATTTTTTTTTTCTAAGTTTCGATGCTTTTATTTACATAGGGATGAGTCTCAGAAGGAAACTTCAAAATCAGAAAGGATATGAATCTCAAAATACATTTTTAAAGATTAGTCTACAAAATGAAAGTGAGGAAGTGACTATGTTACAAACTGCATTCATCTTGCAGCTGTTTACTCTTTGCCATTGCCTTACAGTCAAACCATCTAAGCCCTATTGTAGCATTCAAGGAATCCCAGAAACTGGCCATCCTATATCTCTTTCTTGCCTCTCGATGCTTGGAACACCTGCACCTGCATACTACTGGTTTAAAATTGAAGGAAAAAACATCGTTCCAGTGAAAGAAAGTTTCAGTAAGTCTAGCCCTCGGCAGCCCGTGGCAAGGCCTGGCATATGCCGTTGGCTGACAGTGTTCATGTGTTGGCTGTTTTCTCTGAGAAGTCAGTCTAATATATTTCTGGGAGGTGATGTAGAATGTTTGTTTCCTAACAAGATGATTGTGGGTTGATCCTTCCCCCAACTTCTAGAACTCAAGCCTGTTTGGGGGGCAGACTTGATGGGTATGCAGGGAATGGGTTAGGTCCTACCCAGGGAACCTTTGGAGTAGTCCTGAGGAGGGTCTAGTTGGACCTTAGATCTCAACGGCAGGCAAGTGTGACTGAGCAGGCATTGAATGATGTGCTACATCAGCTTGATGTGTAGCAGTGAAGAGATTTCTGAAGTTCTTTTCTGCTTCTGACAGACCCAGCCACCGGTATCTTTGTTATTGGAAACCTAACCAATTTTAAGCAAGGTTATTACCAGTGCACTGCTATCAACACCCTTGGCAATAGTTCCTGCTCAATAGATCTAACTTCTTCACGTGAGTTGATCATACAACTTTAACAGTTTCTTCTTAAATATCCTGCACTGCCACCAAGTAAGTTAGTTAGGATCTGTGGTTTATCTTGTCTATGGGGAGTTTTTGTGCTTTTTACAGTTGGATATTGCGACTAGTCAACCTAATATAGAATGTTCACATTAACACCTACCATGTGCCACATACTGTCCTAAATTGTTTTCAAAGTTAATTTGTTTATCTTTTTCTAAATCACTCTCAAGTAAGTATTATGACTCAAATAAAAACTACAGTCTTATTGATAATACCAGACTGAATTTCTTTTGGTGATGATGTTGGTAAGTACAGGTGAAACTGCACAGCTGTGTCAAATATGTAGCTCACAGACTTCCAATTCTAACTAAAGGCCACTGCCTGTAATAATAACAGTTATAATAACACTCAAACCTACAGTCACTGTAGCTAATATTTGGGTACTATAAGCTTTATCTCACTCAATCCTCCAACTACTCTGTTTAGGAGGAAGAATTATATAGTTAGCCTCACTTAACTGAAAAGGAAACTGAAGCACAGGGAGGTAAGTGACTTGCCCAAAGTTATCCAGTTAATAACTGGATGCCTCTAAGCCTCTATCTTTCAGTTTAAAGGTTCTTAGTTACTCTTTAAGAGATATCTTGCCACAGCGCTAAAGAATCAACCAATAATACTTAAGATCATGCCATCTGATCATTTTTTCATTTTTTCTTATCTTGGATATGTACCATATCCAGGGTGGCCAGTCCATTGAATCATTGCTCTCTTATAAGACTGAATTTTTTCCTTTCATTTGTCCTGAATCAAACATCTTCAAACTCCAGGTTGTTCCTTAAATCTAATCTTACTTTCAATGCTGATATCACTTTTCAACGTAAAGAAACTCATCTTTTTGGTCTGCTTTTTTTTTTTTTAACTGTGGTCCAATTCTACCCCAGTCCATTGACCCCCTTTTTTTTTTCCCCAGCTCTTCTTCAGTTTTCTTTTGCTTTTCCATCAGTACAGTTGTACTGCCCTTGTGCAGACTTCTCGGATTTGTACTTGTGTCTTGCTTCCTTTTGAATCCTCTTTTCAAAGATGCCAATTTTTTGGCTGCCTTCCTTCCTGCCTACCTTCCTCAAATACTGAGCATGTCCTCTATGCCAGAGACTGTCCCAGAGGAGGGAGGTACAGTGAGTAATAAGGCACATAGCTTACACTCAAGGAGCTCAGTGTAATCTAAAGGGACAAAGAGTAAAATGTGTTAAGTGCTAAAGGACAAGCGTGCAAGGGGTCTATAAGATACCAAAGAAGAACCTTCAGTTTATGCTCATAGAACTAGAGGCAGCTTTACCAATGAAGTGCTATTTGAGCTGGATTTTGAAGGAATTTGCAAAGTCTGTTTATTTATAAAACAGGGATGAAGGTGAAAGAAGATCAAAGCGGAACAATAGAGCCCCGGGCTATCAGTCCTTGCTGGGGGAGGAGGGGGGAGGAGCCCAGAGGAATGTTTCTGAAGAGAAAAAGCCATAAGAAGATGATAGATTGTCGGATGTGTTTGAATCTATTGAAAAGAGTTGAACCAGTTTGCTGGACAATCTGGGGATTATTGATAATACATTTTTAAAAATCCCCAAGTAAGGAAATAAATGACCTCAGGGAAAATTTTTAAATGTTGTGCAAGGAGGAATCACATTATAGCAGCTGTATTTGTTATCATAATATTACAAACTTTGAGGTCGTAGTTACATCAAAGTGCCCTGACTATATTAGGAGAATGTGGCAGGGTGTCAGCGGAATGGAATGAGTTAAATCTTCAACTTCTGGAGTAGGAGGTCAATAGAAATGATGAAAATTGGAAAAGGTAAGACAGAACAAGGGTAGTATTGTAGAAAGATGGAGGCCATTACCAGAAGTTTTTTAAAAGGGCTAAGACTGGTGGCTTTTAATGACTATGTCTCAGAGACGGGAGAAGTAAAAAGAAGACACGCTATTTTCCTCTTGGAAGCCTAGCACAACTGTTTGACTTTGTAATTATGCACATGGATGTAGTCATTTAATCACAACGTGTTGAGAATGATCAGGCAACTCAACCAACTTTTGTTTCAAAATAGAAGATGTTCAGCCTTATTGGAGGGGAGGCGGGTGGTGATGGGCTTGCCAGGAACCCAGACGTGGTCTCTTGGGAACAATTGCTCAGTGTTCGTAGGTCTGGCGCTCATCTGGATTGTCTCACGCTCATGAAGTTTTTCCATGGAGTGAGCTAATAAACCAGATGCCTGTTCATGGAAACAGCATATCCCTTTCCAGCGACCAGAAAGCATGAGGCTCATTGGCGAGTATGGGATCTGTGTGGGAGAAGCATGGCCTCACCTATGCTTTGGGAAGGTCTTGAAATGCTCTTGCCTTTAACAGAAGTCATTTCCCTGGTGAGCACATTGCAGTGCCATGGTGGCTCTCTCAAGAACCCAGCAAATGTTTACTGCAGGCCGTCTCCAAACTTCATTCTGAAAGGACCCTGCCTCCCTCAAGTTGGCATGTTTTTTTGTGTGTGTAACTATGAATGGTTGAGCTGTGTAGTTGAGCCAGGCAGCTTCCTCAGGATATGATCGTGTCGAATTTTCCTGAAGGGTCACAGACACGTGTGTATGAGGCAGACAGCATGTTCATCTTCCTAACTAGCTGCTTGTATCCTCCAGATCCCGAAGTTGGAATCATTGTTGTGGCCTTGGTGGCTACCCTGGTAGGTGCTGCCATTATCATCTCTATTGTGTGCTTCGCAAGGAGCAAGGCAAAGGGGAAAGAAAGGAGGAGAAATCCTAAACCCACCACAGAACTTGAGTAAGACGTTTTATTGTTTTTATTTGAATACAGGCATTTCTCAGGTGTTTCTCTTTCAGCAATTCCTCAGCACTCCTTTTAGCATAAGACATCAGAGGAATCTTCCTGCTCTTTCTCAGTTTGTAAAAGAATGATGGCTACTATTTACTGAGCCTAGAGCCAAAATTTGTTCTAAGCACTTTGTGTTTATCAAATCTTTTACCCACCGTGACCACCACTTTAGAAGCAAGAAATGTTTGCTGTATCATATTAATATACTTTTGTTTCCACCAACAATCATAAAAATCTATTTTTAAACTTTTTTTTTATGGAACAAGAGGCCCACAAAAGCAAGTGCTTAGTGCCTGTGGAAGACGCAGCCTTGCCCACAACCCATGCTCCTAATCACTCTGCTATTTCTTCCGGAATGTTGACTCATGCATTCATTTGTTCATATTTCAATTTCTATGCTTCCCCAACTTGTATTGGGTACTGACTGTCACGTTTGTGCTGGATGGAGTAGGAGCTAGGGCTGCCCCCGTGCTATGGATTTGACATTCAAAGACCTTATTAGGTCTTTAGACTTTCATCTTGACATCTTTCCATCTTCTTGAACTCTCACATTGTTGAGACCTAACCTTTGTTCATCCAAAATGGAAACATGTGATCTGATAGTGAATCAGAATATGAGAAAGCACAGAGGTCCTGAACAGTCTGGGACCTATGGTCACTGAAGCTTCCGAGCCTATGGCTCCACATGAAATGTTAAAGTTAGCATTTCCTTAACTTGTTCTTTCCTGGGCCTTCTTCCTGCAGGCCAATGACAAAGATTAACCAAATTGTAGAGGACGAGGCAATGCCATCTGAAGATATTGTCCAAGTAGAAGCAAGCCTGCCACCTACCTCCCAGGAGAACGACCCTGAGATCACCATGGGGCCAGATCATGAGCCTATCCCCGAGTCTGCGCCTGCTACGGGGACTATTCCAGAGTCTGCCCCAGGCCAGGGGCAAACCCGCGTGCCTGAGCTTGAGATCCAACTGGAGCCGGAGCCGGATCCCGAGCCAGAGCCCGAGGCAGAGCCTGAGCCCAACAATGTAGTTGAGCCCTTATGCGATGAGGAGAAGGGAGTGAATAAGCCATAGGCTGGTAGCTTAAACACAGTGTTCATCACTAAGGAACCCATTACTGGCAGCTGGAATTCCATTGGCCTTGCCAACCTTCCACTTCCTCCATCCTGACCATCCACCCGCCTTCTAACAATGTGCTCCTACCATTAATCCAAAATAAACAGGTCAAGATAACTACTAAATAAATGCAAGGGTTCCTTATTGCCATCATAGAATACTTACAATTTTACTAACATATAAGCATAACTAATGATAAGGCAAATGATTTCTAACTCAGTTTAAAGTGTGTTACAACAACACCTGGTTGTACTTCAGAAAACTACTTGTTTACTGTTAACTACTTTTTGTTACATTCCACATGACAAGGTGACATTAACTGCATTTAATATTATTTCAAGGATTAGTTGTAAAGGTTTCCCTGTTCACTTTCACAATGACCACTAAGAAATGAATTCACTAGCATTATCTCACAGAATGAAAAAGAATTCCAAAGAAGTATATGTAATTGGTACATAACAACATTTAAACTAGACCTTAAAAATGAACTCTTCACTCATTAAATTTCTCAAAGGCCCATGGCCCATGCTACCACACCAGTATCTAAGCAGCACATTTAAAAATAACTCAATTTCCAAATGCAAAGTAATGTACAGGAAGACAATGCTATTTTTCCTTCAGTAAGTGTAAAGTGTTGCTATTATAAGTGATGCACAATTTTGAATGAGTTATCATGTGTCTGATGCGATCTACTTTGGAAGTTGAAGTAGGAAATTGCTTTGAATGAACATTTAAGACCACTTTAGATAATATGAATTCATTGTTCAATCTTTTTACTGTTGGCCATTAATAAAGAGATATCATTTTATAAATGTTAGTTATGAACTCAAATTGATACCACCTCTTTAACTGTTAAAAAGTTTTTCCATTGATTATATTTCACCCATATCTTCCTTGAAGAAATTTACAGGCAGACCTTTTCATTTGTGTAATCAAGCAGATTTTAATCTTAAGGTTCAATAAATACTACTCAATAAAATCTCATTTTAATGACTCGAGGTAAATCTTTTAGAAAAATGCTATTGATATACTTTATATACAACAAAATGCACCTATCTTAAGTGCACAACTTAATGAGTTTTGACAGATGTATACATCTATCAAACCACCACACTTCACATAGAACATTTTTAGCAAAATATTCCTTATGCCTCTTTGTACGATCCCATCATCCTCTACTTAGGCAGCCATTGATTGATAACCATGGATCTCTTTTCCATCAATAGAGATTGCCTCTTGCTGGCCTTCATACAAAAGGGGTCATATAGTATGCTCTTTTCATTGTCCAATTTTCTTTTAAGGTGAGTCACTTTCAAATGAAGTAGTGAATCTGTCACATCCAGGTTTTCATGTAGAGGATTTTCTTAAACTGAATACCCCTTTCTCTATAGAGATTATATTTTACTCACAATTTTAACATGCAGATCTGCACCCCTCAGGCAGGAATCATTTATCACAACTGAGGTAGATGCCTTTAGGTTTTAGGGTAGACTGAAATTAACACTATGTATTTTCCATGTGCAATGCCATGGAGAAAAGAGAGAACATTTTTTTTACATATTTCCTTTTATGTGTTAATATATATGACTGAAACAGCCATATATGTTTTTTCAAAGATTTATTTATGCATACCAAAACTGGGGCACAGGCCAGAGGTGCGGGTGGTGAGAAGATTCACCAGAGACAGAGTGGGGAGCAGAACAGGTGGCCTAACTGAAATACACTGCCGAGGGGAGCAGTGGGTGGGATAGGAGAAGTCTGCTGTGCCCTGTGGGTCACCTCCCTGGCCGGGGATCAAACTTGTGGTGCAGTGGCTGCAGATAGCTTCATAGTACTGTACCTTAAGCCCTTGCACCACCAGAGACTTGATGGGCCCAGGAAGCAAAATGAAGGTCTGAAGAATAACCTCATATTTACAGATTAAAAACTAAATACCAGCAGTATAAAAACTCAATTATCAGATTGCCCAAGTAGCTGGAACTCACTTTTCTCTTCCACTTTTAAGGCAGGCAAATTAAAGGAGACTAACAATAGTCAGCAACTACACCGCAACATCTCTGATGGATGGGTGCTGAGCAGAAGGGAAGACACTCTTGGTGGTCTATCCTTATTAGCACTGTTCTATTCAAAATATTGATGAATAGTTGAATTAGTAGTTTTTAAACTTTTCCGAGGTCATGGATTACCTTTAGAATCTGCTGCAAACTCTGGACCCCAATCCATAGATAAATGTTATTACGTACAAAGTGCTATATATAGTTTTAGATAAATTACAGACTCCAAGTCCAAGATTAAGAACTGGTGACTTACATAGGAACACAGAAGGCACATAATGTATCTGTGGATGTCTTGCTCCAGGGTGGAATGCTTACTATGCTGTATGACAGAATCATGACTCAAAATGATCTTAGTAGTCTGGGAGCTGAGCTGAAATCAACATAGTGAATTTGACCAGAATGAATAGAAAGATATAGCTCAAAATACATAGAGTACATGTTGCCCATGTGGAGACTCTAGCTGGGCAAGGTTGGGAAGTTAAAGTTAACCTGAAATGGTATACTTGATTTCTCCCTTTAGTGCCCTTCCAGGCCTTCTGGTGTCCTTTTATTTTTTTCTCCAAATATCCAGGATTTTCACACGCCTAGGAGCTCAGTGACCGATTCAAGCTTGTATTGGTCAGGATGGCATCATTTGTCAGGAACTATCTCTAACCTTGCTACCTTTTTCAAAAGGTAGCTACTGTATGCTTTGTTCTTGCCCTGCCAATGTTATCATTCAATGATGTCATTTATGTTAATAATGAGTTATGTCTTAGAAAGATTTTCCTTCCAAAGAGATGCTTGAACACAAATAATTCCTTAATCCAGAGACCGAATGGTAGAATTTGAAGCACTAGAACAATCCAGAGGGGAGATATTTCTGAAAAAAGGAGCTCCTCTCTAATCAAATGCACTCCATGTACTCATATGGCCACTCTAGAGCAGTGCAACTTTCATTCCAGTCTCTTAGATTTTCTATTGGCACATCATTAATACACCACTTTTCATGTTTACAATGAATTCTGAGACCCTATAAAATAGAGCATTTTGTCACCAAGTCTTGGGCAGTAAAATGATCTCAATGTTAAGAGTTTTCCATGAAGGAGCACAACAAAGGGCTTTTAAAATGCTTATCAGTGGATCAGAAAATAATAAAATGGTTATTACCCAAATATTCTGATTAGTAAAGCATCAACCAAATTGTTTTTCCTTAGTTCTCATTCAGAGAAGGTACTACCTTATTTATGTTGCCATAGGCAGCTAAATAAGTGGGTAATCCCAAGATAGCTTGGATTTCTAGACCACTCACTTCTTACCATCCGAAAAGATTTCCAGGAACTTTTTTCATCTCTTTCTTTAGACATTTAGCAACTAGGATATGTTACAGCCAGCAGAATAGTTGTTTGGCTGTAGGTTCTTATTCTCCTCAAATTCATCTGTTTAGTCAGTGACCCACTGGACATTTATTGGTTGGCTACTATGAACCAGATACTGTAGCTGTTGATATGGAATCAGTTCTTGTCCTTATGGGTACATGGCTTTGCTAACTTATAATAGATTCTTGAATGTTATCAACAGCAGTTATTGAGTACAGGTGAGGAAGCTTGGAGTTGGCCTTAGAGTTTGGGAGGTCCTCCAAATCACACTGATCTATGATGAAACGGTACTAAACATAGTACTTCTTGACCAATGACTAAGAAACCACATGCACTGATAGCTTTGTCCTTTAGTGTACCTGCCATTAATGTATGCTAAGGAGTTAATATTTGAATCTGTTTTACTGGCTTGTGTGCTACTAAGTTTAGATGAATTTACAGTAAGAGCTAGAAGAGTTAGAAGGGAGCTTTGAAATCAAAGGTACTCAACGTTTTCAATTTCACATCTGAAGGTGATAATACAAAATTTCGCTTCTGACAGTGATGGTGGTGAATGTAGGTAATACAAAATTGCATTCTTGTTGGGGTAGAGAAAAAGGTTAAGTGCAGTTTTAAAAAGCTGGGTCATTCATACCCATATTCCCTCCTAAATAGAAGTAAACTAATCTGTCTGAGATGACATAAAAATCAAGAACTAGAGCCCCAAGTTCTGATACCCAGTGAAATGCTTTTCGAAGCAATGCAACAAACTACTAATTTCAATCAAACAAACCCAAGCCTCAATAATAAAAAGTTTTTTTTTTACATGTCTACAGGACTGGAAAACAGATTAGAGGGCCTCACAAAAGGTTAAAATAATTCAATAAAAACAATAATCCCATTTGTCTCTGATCCTTTGGTTTAAAGTCACCAAATTAATATGCTAAGACAAATAAGTCAGAAGGAGAAAGACAGACACCAGATAATTTCTCTCATATGTGAAATTAGGGAAGCAAAGCAAAAGACCAGTCAAAACCAACACAAAGCCAAATTGAAAACAAACCCTAGAAATCTGACAGTAGAATTAGTGCTAAACAGGTGGAGGGTGAGAACAAAGTGGGGAAGGGCCCAAAGAGCTACCATGGAGAATTATGGGCACTGTGGAGGTGTGCTGTAAAATACACACCTACAAAGGTCAAATACATAGGCGGAGGTGTGAACCTATACCTCTAAATCACACAGTGTTGTAAACCAGTAATAACTCAATAAAAAGTAACAAAATTTAAAAAAAATATTCAGAGGTGAAACTGAAGATTCCAGGAAACCATGGAGTGAAAAAAAACTCAACCAACAGGATAGGGTTCAGGGTTAAAAATGAGTTATTATCTAATGTTATTGTACCTTTTATTTGTTCCATATTTTTGAGTAGATGCAGAAAGAAAATGGATCAGGATCCAGGAAAGATAGATCTTAATGCTGGTTGTGTTTCTAGCTCTGGGTGTTTTCTCACGTGTAAAATGGAGATGATTTCTGCCTTCTTAAAGGCTACAGTTGAGAATGAATGTATAAATATATTAACTATAATATTAAGTGTGGTAGAACTCTGCTGTTACAGAACCCATGCCTGCTGATATTTGATTCATCATTCTTTTTTTCTCTTAACCAAGGTTTCTTAACCATTTGGAATTCACTGATCCCTTACAGAATCTGGAAAAAGCTACAGAACCTTCTAGAAAAATGCACACATAAATTTCTACATTAAATTTTAGGCAGACTGTAGAGCTGTGAAGCTAGAGCAACAACCCCCCCCCCCAAAAAAAAAGTTGTATCAAACATGCTGACAATTGAACTGTGTAACACAGGGAAAGCAGCAGACACAGTCATGTAATAAATTCATTGTAGTTGGTGTAAATGAGAAATTGGGATGTGAAGACACCGGGATTACACAGTTAAATTGCCAAGTAAAATATTATGAAGTAAAATGCAGACTTACCTTGATACCTGTAGAACCCCACTGAAATTGTAGATTCCAGCTAGTAGATATGTAAGAATGTAATTTTTCCCTCTTTTCCCATGTACCTATTTCTTTCATTTTATATGGTCAATTAAGCTTCACAATAAGAATTGTCATCTTGTGTTCATTTTGGAAGAAATTGTAAAATGTAGTACTTTTCAATCAGATACATCTCTATTGTATTTGCAACAAGGAATAGGTGACAATCTGATTCATGTTAAGGCATTAATATGCTTAGTTTATAATAATTGATGATTTAATTAGTCTTCAATTATAAGCCACTTCATTCAAAATATCAATAGCCTAAAAATTACCTGAGGCTTGGTTCCATTTGTATTGCTTATTTTTTTTTAAAGATTTATTTATTTGTGCATACAGAACTGGGGTATAGGCCAGAGGCTCAGGGGCAGAGAGAGGCTTCACCAGAGACAGAGTGGGGAACAGAACAGGCAGATCGACGGAGTACACTGCTGAGGGGAGCAGCGGGCGGGTCAGGAGAGGTCCGCCACACCATGCGGTCACCTCCGGGGCAGGCGGGAATTGAACTCATGCGGAAGTGGCTTTAGATTCTCAGTGCTGTGCTTTAACCCGCTGCGCCACCAGGGAGGGCCATGTATTGCTTATTTAAGAACTAAGATAAGTTTTCTTTTATATACACAAAGCCTACTAGCTCAGAAAATAAACTCAATATTTATGAAGAACAAATGCCCTCAGTCCTAATAGGCCCTATTAGACACAATTCTCCTCTGATCATGCTAAAATTATTAGAAAGAAATTATTTCTTCTGTCATCAATTTAACCCTGGTATTCAATAAACAAAGTTTAGCTCCATAAAAAGATACTTTCTTGATTAATATTTGTAAAGATCAGCACTAAAACATTTATATAAAATGATGCATATACACTGATAAGTTTGTCCTTACAGAACTTATCTAGCTAGTGGTTATTAGGTCTCTTACCCAAAATTAATGCAAATTTGTGGGCCTGCTTGCCACACTTATTTTAAGCAACGTTTACTGCATAAAATTTAAATAAATAAAACTTGAAAATCCATTTGGTATTCATCAGATTTTATGACTTTAGTAATCATTTAAGATGTTTTCTAAATTAAGATCAAGTTTGAACTTATTTTCTTTAGCTCCACATTTAATTAGCAATTCAGAAGATTACTATTTTTAATGACTTTAGCTGTAATTCAAGCTTCGTTAATTTTATTGACTTTAGAGCTATCAGAAACTGAGAAATGTCTTTACTAAGGATTTTAAGGTATAAGTGTATGTCTAGATGATTTAAAAGAAAAATTGGGAGGCTCAACATTTTCTATTTTTAGTTTCTAAAACACATCAAAATGCATTTTTGGTACATATATGAACAAGCTTGACATTCTTTTCCAAACAGGATGACTTAATATAGGTACTTTAAAACTTCCAATTAAAAAAACATTTTATTTTGGAGGGAAATAGCTCATTAAAAATACACACAGTCAATTATTTTTCATTATTTTATTTTTTTTAGTGTTTCTGAATGCCCAATTTGGAAAGCATGTTCCAACTTAAAATTGGTCCTCTAAATTATATAAGTACATCTCCTATAACAAAAATTAACCGTACTGTTGAAAACCAAACCAAAACAAAACTGAGTGAACTTAGAAGTTGAGTTTGGATGTGCTTCAAATGTATAGAGGAATATTCTAGAATCCACCTACACACATTTGGCAGAATAACTGCCTGGTGTTGTTGGGGTTCTGCCTTGGAGGTGGACATGGGGCATGGGAAGGTGTTGAAGACTAACGACAGTCACAGACTTACTTAAAATGAACCAAAATTCAATAGAAAATAATATACAATAGTAGAACAATTTCAACATTTACTCTATGTCTGGAAAATGGATTGTAAGCTTAGAACAAAAACTTCATCAGGTACAATAATCAACATGTTTATAAGACTTTGAGCATGGAAGAAATTTCATCAATCATAGATGATGTCTTGTGCACAAATATATTATTTTCCAGAACACTGGGGACAACCATAAAACATACAACATACGAACAAATCCAAGATGCTTAACCTTCCACCATTCTCTTGAGTATTAAACCCAGACCACCTTTGGCCACTTGCAGGGGTGTTTTTTCTTCTTTATTCTCAATGTAAATACTTGCTCCTTGGGATACCAGCAGTTTTGCTTCTTCCACTCGCTCTTCGTCACAGGCTAAGTGTCTAAAATCAAGGATCACAAAGACTGATTAGTCAGCATGGTTAGTTTACTAACAGATAGTTTAAGTTTCAGCATTATTAGGTAATAAAATACTAAAAAGTTATTTAATCAGAAAATGAAAATCCTAATTTTACTCCTACTACAATAGAAGAAGGGATCTAGCCACTAGCGTAGGGAAAAACTTTATTTTATGGAGAGGAGAAATAGTTACACCAAATATATGCAGTAATTCAGGGTTTGAAGTTAGAGACGTGCTTACAATAATGTGTATGATTTAAATTTTGGAAAAGTAGTTAAAATATTTTATCTCATTTGATCCTTATAAGTGAGCAAAGTAGTATATCATCATTTTATAGCTGAAATTGCAACAGAAGTTAAAATCCTGGCCTAGGATGACACAGCTGAGTAGCAACTGAGGGGGTAAGCATTATGAGGTACTTTATAAGTTTGTCAGGCACTTTAAAAGCTCTTTTATTTAAACCTCACAACAATATAGCAAGAAAGGAATTATTATCCTCGTATTACAGATGAGGAGTTGAAACTCAGGAAGGTTAAGTCACCTTGCGACGCTATTATAATACATATATTATAAATGCAATATATAGATACTTATATAGTTGGCACATGGCTGAGTTTGGATTGGGAAAACAGCATGTAGCTATTCCCAAATCATAGTCTCTACCCAGAACCCTAAACTGCCTGACCCCTAGATTTCCTCATCTTTCTTGTTATGGGGAAAAAAAGCTAAAATATGTCTTTCTAAACAGAGTCATTTAGAGCTATAAAAAAGATTTTTATAACTAGAAGTTAAGAAAACAATACTTAAAAAACAGTAACAATAATACTCAGCCAAAGCCAATGAAATATTAAAAATAAGCCTACAGCAAAATACAGGTGAATTTTTAACTAATTTCAGGGTGAGAAAGGACTTTCTAGTTAGGAGGGGAGCTTAATAGGTTTGACTTTGTAGAAGCTGCAAATTTATGTTATTTAAAAAAAATTATGGACCAGCTGAAAAAGATAAATTGGGAAAAATATGTTTGACTAACGTGGCAGAGGATTAATATTTTTCTATATCAAGACAAGGGTTCTTAAAAAAAAATCAGTAAAAAATTAATTCACCAAAAGGACGGAAAGAGACAAAGAAGTTACAAGTCAGAGAAGAAATATAGGTAGTTACAGGCATTAGAAAATGTTTAACTTTACTGATCATTTAATAAAATGAAAGTAACAGCGACAAAGTATCATTTTCAGAGAACAAAAGATTATTCTCAATTTTGGAGAATGGGAAATAGGTACTCTCAAACTGCCATTAGGAGGGCCCAATGATACAACTCCTCTGCAAGCAATTTGGTAATACATAACAATCATCTTAAAATGTGTGTATTTGTTGACCTAAAAAGTCAACTTATAAGAGCCTTTACTAATGTATTAACCAAAAAATGTGGCTAAAAATTTTGTGCAAAGTTGGCCAATGGAGTATTATTTATATCAGTGAAAAACTCAAAAGTTTAAATATATAGTAGTAGAGGAATGATTACATTGTGGCATATCCATAAAGTGAATTGCATATAGGTATTTTAAAATGTTGTTACAATATTTAATAACATTGGAAAATGCTCACAATATGCTATAAAGTGAACAGAACATGACATAAAAACTATATACATGGTATAATCCCAATGTTGCAAAGAAATATATGCAAATTTAAAACATTTGCATACAAAGCCTAGGAGGAAATACATTAAAATGCCATCCGTGGCTATTTCTGGATAGCAATAGGCAATTTTTATGTTTGGTCTTTATACTTTTGTGTACTTTCAAATTACTTTTGCCATAAACTACCATACTTATAAGCATAATAAAAAAAAACAATGATGTGCAATTAGTGCAAGAGGGTAGTGTCAGGTAGAATACAAATGACTGCTACTTGTCACTTACAGAGGAGTGTTACCCTCAGTATCTTGGATATTTGTGGATGCTTTGTAGTACAGAAGGATATGAATCATCTTCAAGTTACCCTTGGCTGCTGCCCGGTGCAGTGCTGTAGCCTCATAATGGTCCTTCGCATCTGGGTTTGCCCCGCCTTCCAATAACATGACAGCAATCTGGAAAGATGAAGAAAACAGCAATGCAGAGAACCACGTTTGCACCCTGGTTTAGAACTCAAAAGAAGTAGACTAGGAATGAGGAGCCCTACCTCATGCCTGTTTTTGGAAGCTGCATAATGTAGGGGAGTACAGCCATTTTGATTGACAGCATTTACTTGAGCACCTTTTCCCAGAAGGGCTTTTACAATCTCATCCCGGCCGGCAGAAGCAGCAATATGAAGAGGAGACCACCCTGCCTGTAAGAAAGATAGGCAGTACCAAAACAGGGGATTAATGTTCACATTTTAGGCAGGGTTTACAAAGAGCAGTGTGTGAATGGTTTTAAAAAATAATATTTAGTCTTCATTAAGCACTGCAGGGAATTGAAAATCCAGAATGTATACAAGAGAAAAGAAAAACCGCCATAACCCCAGCACACAGAGAAAATGATATATAAATTTAATTCCAATGTGTTTTCCAACTGGGATCACAGGACATTAAAGTTTTGTGAGTTATATTTCCCACAAATCTTCATTTTGTGAGAATTTGTTGATGTCATTCTTCGGATTCATAACTTTATATAGGTTGCATATTTATTTTAACGTAAGAATATACCTACTATAATCAACCATTCTTCAATATTTTTACTTTGCTATTATAAATATTACTTCAGTGAGCACTGAAAAAGAATCTTTACCTATAAAAAAGTTTTCACACTTATATAGTTCCTAAGTCTTATCCTATTGGAACCAATATCAGGATAATAAATCTATAATGCAAAAGATAGCTAGGAGCTCATTATTGAAGTAATATTCATCCTCCACATTCCAACAAAATGAAACGTTTTTGTAGTCTCTGAGGGGGTCACCATAATAGGCTTTCACTTGCCTTACCTTAGGCTATGAGGTATGAGTGGCAAAACAAACATTCTAAAATAATGTAAACACTAGTTTGCATAAAATAACTGCACTTGGACACTGGTGCCATGATGCAACTTCCTAGTCATAAAGGCTACAATTTTGTTTTTGAGCTTAATACTCAAGCTTTGGTAAACACCAATATGTTGCCTAAAGATAACTGGGGATTTATCAACTCTGCCTAGTACTCACATCATCTTTATCATTTACTGGCACTCCCAGCTGCAGTAAGAATTCAACAATTTCTGTATGTCCAGCTGAGCATGCCCAATGCAATGCAGTTCTGCTGTCCTACAAGGGAAACAGGGAAGCAGTAAAATTAAAGTTCTAGAAGAGAAATAGAAAAACTAAGGCAAGAGAACAGAAAATATTGATTCTGGGGCAGACAAACCCATAGTTTGGAAGCAACAACGGAGCTCATGGGATCTTCAGGTAGGTAACTTTCAATAGGCCATATTACTTACTAGTGTAAGAGAGGCCAAGGCTTTAGTAATGTGAGAAGAAAACAAAATTTTGGGCAGAGTACATCCAGAAAAACATGAGAGGAAGACAATGATTTCAATATTTTTGAAGAAATAGAGCTTTGGTTGTTTATATTATTTATGTACTTTTTTTGGTCAGACATTGTGCTAGGTGTTTTACCATCTCATTTAGTTCCCACAATACTATACAATGGCTGTTATGTCCATTTTACAGATGTAGAAAGTAAGACACTTTAGGGTAAGCAAACTTGGCCAAAATCACACAGCTAGTAAGTGGTAAAGTTGGGAAACAAACCCTTGTCTTTCTGACTCTGAAATTTCTAGATTCCTCAGAATGAACAAATGAATCTTAAGGGGAAGAAATGTTTAAAAAAAAAAAAAACTGAGTAGAGCTGATCTATATTGCCATTTAAGAAACACGAGGGACAGAAATTACTTTAAAAAAAAAAAAGCAACAAAATTACTTAAAAAAAAAAAAGCTATGAGTGCCCTCCCTGGTGGCACAACCGGTTAAAAAAAAGCTATGAGTTATGGGCTGAAAAACGGTGGGTGGAGGAAGTGCACCAGATTATGGTGATGGCACATGGGTGATCTGGTGATGGGAAGCTCACGGGGATTACAAGTAAGATGGAAGAAGGCACAAAATGTGTAAAAATAAACTATTATATTATTTTTAAAAAAGCTATGAGTTAGTCATGTTTCTTTTTGCAGTGACAGCTATATTTCTTAGCTCTATGTAATAGAAAATGGTATTTTCAACTTTATTACAAGAAATTCAAACACATAAAAATAGAGGGACTGTAACAGAAATCTACATGTTTATCATCTAGATTTATTATTTTGTCATATTTGTTTCATCTAGTTTTTTTTCTTTGCTGAGGTTTTTAAAAACAAATCCTAAATATCAAGCCCTTTCATCCTTAAATATTTCAGTATGTTTAAAAAAGGGTGTTTTCTTACATAGCTGCGAGGCCATTATTACATCTATTATAATGAACACAAACTTCTTTATAGCATTTAATGCCCAGGATTTATTCAGATTTCCACAATTGTCTCCCAGATGTTTTTGGCAGTTGGCTTGCCTCATTCAGGATACAAAGTGCGTCGAAAGAAACATTTGGTAGCTGAGTTTCTTAAGTCTCTTCCCAAAGACACAAAATGGAGATTTATGAGTATTGACACTGTCTCGCCAGGGCTTAACACGGTCCCTGCCCAATAGGAGGCAATCTATAAATATTTGTTGCCTCTTTGTGGGCACCAAGAATCTTTCTAGAAACTGGGAGTGAACAAAAAGGGGCCTTGGAGAAGGAGGATAGAAAGAAACATTCCCAAGGTCCATTCACTTTTGTTCTGTCTTTGAGTAAAATGTCCGTCCATCCCCAAGGAAACTGCCACTCATCCTTCAAAGTCTAACTACCCCTCCCTCTTTGGGGAACCTTTACAATCACCACAATACCCAGCTCTTCCAAGGGAGGTGAAATCGGGTCCTCCGATTAGGAGTCCTCAGAGCAACACGTAAACGCCTCCCTTCTATTTACCACATTTGTAATCGGGCATATGTTTGTGTGATCACTTGATTGAGGTTTGCTTCTTCCAGCTCCTAGCAAATCTCCTGACACCGAAGAGGCTCTGTCACGCGTGTTTCATTGAATTAGAGCACCATAAAGAAACCCATAATTAAAAAAAAAAAAAAAAAGCTTTCCATTTCAGGGAGATCTCAAAGATTAGGCATTTCTGGGAAACCCGGTCAATGTTCAAGAAACTCAGCGAGCTAATAACTGGGTCCGAAAGAATATTTGAGGTCTGAGGGGCTAGCTCTGCCGCCCGATTCCGAGTCCTGAAGTGACCCGGGGGTGAGGGTGAGGGGGCGGGGGCGGGGATCCGGTCCTCTCGGAACCGGCCTCCGCTTGGGCCGCGCAGGGCAGGCAGGCGCGTAGGGCTTCGCTGACTCGGCCGCCAGAGGCGGCGAAGGCCCAGCGCTGCTTTACCTGGTCCGTTCTAGTAGCCAGGGATTTATCAGCTAGGATGCTCTCCTTCAATTCCTCCAACTTCCCGGTGTAGGCCAGGTTGCAGACCATTAGATTGGACACACACCCCTCCATTTCGCTTTCTCAGGATCTCCGTGAAGCGCGACCATCAACCGCCACACGTCGCCGGGTCCGACTGCCAATCAAAAGAGCCGGAAGGGCTCCACCAATCAACGGTCGTCCTCGTCCCTTTGGTCTTTTCCCATCGCGCGGTGCCTCTGGGAGTTGCAGTCTAAGGGCAGTTCCGGGCAGGGTGGCGCTTTTGCAGCCCGCACAGACTTGACCCTTACCAGCGTAGAACTACAAGTCCCAGGGTCCCTAGCGGCCGCCATAGTCAAGTGGCCAGTGGAATTGGCCCAGGATGACAGCTGGAGAATGGAGTCAGGTACGGAGAGCGTCTTCGCGTGGAAACGGGGTGGGTGGTCGCGGTTGGGCCACAGATTCGGTCACGCAAAACGGGTGCGGGGTCATGGCAAGAGAGTTATGGTTACCTAAAGGTCCTGTACTATAAGGGCCCTGACCTGCCGTGGCAGGCGGAAGGGACACTGTTTGGAACTGAGCACTACCTTCTAAGCTCGTACTTGTGTCGGTGCCTACCCTCCCCCTTCCTGCCGCTGCCAAAGGAGTAGGAAGAAGCAGGGGTTAATTATTCTGACATCTCGGTGGAGTGGCATCAACGCAGAATTCGGTCACAGCAATGATAGCATATGACACCACAGTAAGGTGATGTGCCAGGGTGATGCCAAAGGCAGGGTGTGATGCCATAGGAGCCACTTGATATCCAAGAGACCTGAGTGAGTCCGTGGCCTGGTGACATCACAACTTGATGAGGGTCGACTTGATATTGTGGTATGGTGTTGGCCCTGTAATACCCCGATAATAATACTGACATCGAGACTTTGCTAGAACTATTAAGCGAATACTGTTTCTATTTATGGAAACCCCAAATATTGCCATAGCGGAAGAGAGATGCAAGGCTTATCCCTTATAGGGCATTATGCCAAAAACTAGGTAATGATAAGAATACACTCAAGAAAGAGACTGATTATGTTTATATTTATCCTGTTACAGTATGGAAAGGGGCTGGCAAACTTTCCATGAAAAGTCAGGTAGTAAGTATTTTAGGCTTTGTGAGTCAAAAGGCAAAATGGAGAATATTTTGTAGATAATTATATAACATAGAGAAAACTAGTCAAGAAGTGTTTATTAATGAAAGTAAAAATATAATAATAATACAGTACTACTAATGAGAATAATGGAATTTTTGTGGGGAGATAACATTTTCTTTAATTGGGTTTTACAGACATCAAAATCATTCCAAATGTTCTGTGAATGCTGATCTATAATGAGATTTAGCCTATTGTATCTTTGAAAATGTCTTTTCCCATTGGATTGCCAGGTCATGCTATCAATCCGGAAATATATTCTTACTTTTTATTTTTATTTAAATAAAATTTCAACATCAGAATAGCTTTAAATTTATAGAAAAAGTTGCAAAGATAGTGCACAGTTCCTGTATAACTACTCACTTTCTCCTACTGTTTTTTTTCCTTCTCTAACAGCCTCATTGAGATGTATTTTACATCATAAAATTCACCCATTTTGATTGTATAATTAAATGATTTTAATAACTTTACTGAGTAATGTGCCCATTACCATAATCAATTTTAGAACATTTCTCACTTTCTCAATAAGATCCTGCAAGTTCATTGACATTTAATCCTCCTTCCCACTTTTAGCTCCAGATAACCACTAACCTAGTTTCTGTCTCTATCAATCTGCCTCTTCAGAACATTATATCTAAATGAAGTCCGACTCGAGGCCTTTTGTGCCTGACTTATTTCACTTAGCATAATACTTTTGTGATTCATCTATATATTGTAACATGATCAGTACTTCATTAGTTACTATTGCCAAATAGTGTTCCATTTTAGGGATATAATACATTTTATCTGTTTACTTACCAGTTGGTAGATATGTAGGTTGCTTCCAATTTTTGTTTATTGTTATCAGTGATACTAAGAACATTACTGCAGTTATTTATGTGGACATGCCTCCTTTCCCTGTGGGAGATACCTAGGGGTGGAATAACTAGATCATATACTGAATTTATGTTTAACTTTCTAAGAAATGGAAAAACTGTTTTCCAAAGCTTCAGTACTATTTTGTATTTCCACCAGCAATGGATGAGAATTTCTGTTTCTCCGCATTTCCACCAATATTTATTATTGTCTTTTTCATTATCACCATTGTAAGTGGTTTTAAAATATTTCATTGTGGTAATAATTTGGTTTTCCTTAATAACTGGTGATGAGGAGCATCTTTTCATGTGCTTATCAGCCATTTGCATATCATCTTTGATGATATCTGCTCATATCCTTTTCAAATTGAATTATTGTTTGTATTGTTTTTATTGTTGAGTTATTTGTATATCCTGGATATATGTCCCTGCCAGATATATGTGGGAAATAGCTATTTTCCCCAGTCTTTGCTTGTTTGTTCATTTTCTTAATGGTATCTTTTTGAAATGCAAAAGTTAAGGATTGCAATGAGATCTAACTTATCTTTTTCTATTATGAACCATGACTTTAGTATTGTACTTAAAAATTTCTGCCTAAGCCAAGGCCTTAATAATTTCTCCCTCTGTTTTCTTCTAAGCATTTAAATTGTTTTAGCTCTAACATTTAAGTCTGTGATCCACTTTGAGTAAACTTTCCCACATGGTCTGAGGTGCAGGTCGAAAAATCACCTTTTTCCATGTAGATGTCCAAATTTTCCAAGCATTTTTTGCTGAATCCACTAAGATTAACATCTTACATTGCTCTGCTATATTTCTTGCAACATACCACATTGGTTTGTTACTATTATCTAACCTCCACATTTTATTTTATTCCAGTTTCACTAGTTTATCTCTGGATGGTGTCCTATCCAAGTCTACATAAGTGAAGTGTCATTCTCATATACTATCAAGAGTACACAGCATGTGATTTTAATTGAGCATGCTCATTAGTAGGACTAAATTCTGTTTTATTCATTTCTTAATATTTGCCTTTTAACAGGTCATTGCTTTGCAGATTAAGCACTTCCAATTGAAAGTTAGGTGGAAATTCCTCAATTAAAATTAAATAGATTTTAGAATATGGAAATTCCCATTGCCCTTACCTCATGGTCCTTAAAAACCACTAATGGAATGATAGTTTGTACTCCAAAAATATCTATACTGCAAATTTGCGTGGGAATAGAGGTCTTGCTTCTCGTTTAACTTATTTTAAAAGTCAGTTTTATTGGGGTGTAATTTACATACAGTAAATCTTACTCTCTTTAGGTGTAAAATGTAGTACACTTGGGTAAATAAATATTGTTGTATAACCACTCCCACAGTCAGGAACAAAATGTTTCCATTACTCCCAATCATTTCCTCATGCCCCTTTGTATGGTCATTTTCCCCTCATACTCCTAGCTCTTGATAACTACTGAGCTGATTTCTAACTCTCTCGTTTTGTCTTATCTTACATTTAATAATTATTAGTATATTTTAGTGTTATATTATCATCACTACAACTTTATTTAAATCATTTCCATCACCTTGAAAAGAAATTTCATGTCTATTTACAGCCCTAAGCAACCATTTCTATATGTAAATTTTCTGGACATTTCATATAAATAGAATTTGTGTCTCCCTTTCTTCACTTAGCATAATGTTTTTGTAGTTTATACATTTTTTGGCATGTGTCAGTGCATTGTTTCTTTTTATGGCTGAATACTATTCCAGTGTATGACTACACTATCTTTTTAAATCCATTCACCAATTGCTGGACATTTGGGTTGTTTACACTTTTTGATTATAGTGAATATGCTGGTGTAGGCATTTGTGTACAAGTTTCTATACAAACACGTTTCCATTTCTCTTGCTAGACATCTAGGAATGGAATTGCTAGGTAATATGATAATGGTATATTTAACTTTTCAAGTACCTGCCACATTCTACCAAAATAACTGCACCATCAATACCAACACTTGTTGATGTCTGTTGTTTTTATTATAGTCATTCTAGTGGGTGTAAAATGGTCTTCTGTTCTTTTTGTTGTTTGACTTGTGACATCATAGGAAGTGCATTGTTTGAAATTGTGATTCAAACAATGTAGATGTCAAAATAACTTTACTCCAGTATAAATTTCACATATAAATGCTGTTTTGTCTTGTAATTTTAGGTTGAGTTAATTAAGAAACATTATCAAGACTGCTGCAAAAGCTAATTTCCAGAGCCATTCAGTGTTTGGCAATAGAGGTTGAAGACAATTCTTAAGAAAGTTTAAAAATGTAAAAATCATTCCTACCTTGCTTACTATATGAAAAACATGAAATGGCCTCAATTTGGCTTAAGAGACATAGTTTTCTGATAGCTGGTGTAGAATACAAGTGTCCTGTATGTAGTAGGTGTTGAATAAACATTTATTCAGTTAATTACAGCAGAACAGTAGGCCCATTGTGTGATATTCACAAAGGATTGGGTATATTAACATTTCACCACAATAATACACCAAGGCTTTGGATTTGATTGCCAGAAACATCTGGCAAAACAACTACAAGTTCCTCTCCTAATGAGAGACTTGTTTCATTAATCTTGTTTGGGTAATCTTTTATAGAACTGTGTTGTGCTTTTGTTTGGTATGACATGGTGATTAGCTTTCCATTCTAAGTCCCCTAGTTAACCCTTAACTTTTTGGCAGTTCCATGGCAAATAAGTCTCTTTGGGAAGAGGTTTCCTCTCTTTTGTCTCTGACTCTTAAGTTTTGGAGGAACAATGTGGTCATTGCTTATTGTGAGTCAATGAGGGGATCTGTTAAGGTCTGACTCCCATGCTGCTCATATTAAATGTTCCTATTGCCTTTTCTGTGTGCCACCCAGATTTTAGCTACTAGAACAAGCCATTTTCAACTTCTATTCTTAAAGCATAAAGCTAAGAATAACTAACATTTTTAGACTGTGTGTATCAGATGTAAGGCTTGTCTCATTTAATGGTTCCCAACAACCCTATGAGATAGTTTCTATGGTTCCCCAGTCTCTGCCTTTTAAAGATTTATCTATTTATGCATACAGAAGTGGGGTACAAGCCAGAGGTGCAGGGTCGGTGAAAGGATTCACCAGAGACAGAGTGGGAAGCAGAATAGGCAGACTGACGAAGTACACTGCTGAAGGGAGCAGCAGGCGGATCAGGAGAGGTCCGCCACACCATGTGGTCACCTCCCGGGCAGGCGGGAATCGAACTCATGCGGAAGTGGCTTTAGATTCTCAGTGCTGCGCTTCAACCCGCTGTGCCATCAGTGATGGCCAGTCTCTGCCTTTTAATCAGGGTGAATGCTGGTACAGAGAAACAAATTTACA